CCCCCGATCCCCCTTCGCCGAGTCCCCTCCCCCCCAGAGGCTGGATTTGCGAGGGTGATCAAATTTTTAATAGGCGCCCGTCGAGCTTCCGAACAGCTGGCGACGAAAATGTTGTTTAGAACGTATCAAGAGAGCGAAGACACCATGCTTGACCGACTGATGGCCGAGCGGGACATGGAGAGCTATTTTGCGAAGATGCCTCCTAAGAATAAAGAGCCCGCTTCGCCTGCGGCAGCCAAGCAGACCAAGGCATCGCGAATATACAGCGCAGAACACAAGTAAGGCGCCGCCCAACAGACCTGACCAAGCACCCATCAGGATGGACGCGATCACAATAGACACATGTCTAGCAAACCCCACCTGTCTAGAAAACACGGGTAACGCACTGACACATGTATGAAGAACACACTTGTGCTATGAAGCACACACTTGTGCGATCCACATGAAGCACACACTTGTGCGATCCACATGAAGCACACACTTGTGCGATCCACATGAAGCACACACTTGTGCTATGAAGCACACACTTGTGCTATGAAGCACACACTTGTTATCGGCATAGTCGGCTGAGGCCTGCGGGGAATGTGAAGCCGGGCGAAGCGCGTTGTGGCGTGAACTTCAACATGTCTGAGAAGGCCGCCAGTGCACTCCGAGCTACCGCGGATTGGATTCAGTCTTTCAACGATGGAGGAGACAAGAGGGAGGATCGGAACGCCTTGACGAGGGCAGGCAAGCGAAATACTGGCAAGCTCTCGCCCAAGGGGCCGGGTCGGAGAGATGAGGACAAACCCGTCGGCCGGGAGATGACCCGCAGTAGGGAGCAGATCCCAAGAGAGCAATTGGCGAGAGAACAGCAGATCCCAAGAGAGCAATTGGCGAGAGAACAGCAGATGGCGAGAGAACAGATGGCGAGAGAACAGATGGCGAGAGAACAGATGGCGAGAGACCATCAGCTGGCGAGGGAGCAACAACTGGCGAAGGGGCAACAATTGGCGAGGGAGCACCAAAGGGCTAGAGAGCAGCAGATGGCGAGGGACCAGCAGATGGCGAGGGACCAGCAGATGGCTAGAGACCAGCAGATGGCTAGAGACCAGCAGATGGCTAGAGACCAGCAGATGGCTAGAGAACAGCAGATGGCTAGAGACCAGCAGATGGCTAGAGACCAGCAGATGGCTAGAGACCAGCAGATGGCTAGAGACCAGCAGATGGCTAGAGACCAGCAGATGGCTAGAGACCAGCAACTGGCTAGAGACCAACAACTGGCTAGAGAGCGGGAATCGCTAGCCGCCCGGGAGCGCAAGCAGCGAGCCAGGGAGCAGGCTGCGGCAGAAGAGCGACAACGGGCGGAGGCTGTCAAACGTGAACAGGCCGTGAAGCAGCCGGCCCGCGTCGTGATGTCCCAGAGCGCGAACGGTTTAGTCGCAAACTACGCGACCGCCACCCAGATGACATCCCCACTCGTGAACCCTCAGACCATGCCCTCTCCTCAGTTCACGCCCACTATGCAAGTGCTTCAGCGTCAGGGGTCGCCACCGGCGACCCATTCCCCAGCCATGCCGACCCAACCTGTGTTGGCCCAGCCGCTGTTGGCCCAGCCGCTGATGGCCCAACCTGGGATGACCCTACCTGGGATGAACCAACCTGGGATGACCCAAACCCTCGAAACAAGCCCGACCGGGGAGCCCGCACAACTTCAAGGCGTACCTCTCGGACCTCAAGTCATGCCGCCGCAGGCCATGCCACAAGTGATGCCACAAGCGATGCCACAGACCTTGCCCCAAAACCTGGCCGGTCTAATGATGCCCCAGGCTCTTGGGCAGCCGCCTGTTGGCCTTGGGCAGCCGCCTGTTGGCCTTGGGCAGCCGCCTGTTGGCCTTGGGCAGCCGCCCCTTGGCCTTGGGCAGCAGCCCCTTGGCCTTGGGCAGCCGCCCCTTGGCCTTGGGCAGCCGCCCCTTGGCCTTGGGCAACAGCCCCTTGGCCTTGGGCAACAGCCCCTTGGTCTTGGGCAGCCGCCCCTTGGCCTTGGGCAACAGCCCCTTGGCCTTGGGCAGCAGCCCCACGAGCAGCAAGCGCTTCAAAGCCCAATTGTTCAAGGAGCGGAAATGCAGGGTGCCGAAGTGCAGTTGCCGAACCAGCAATTACTGCAGCCAATGCAGCCAATGCAATTGCCGGCTGAGTTGTTGGCGCAACTTCAGATCCAGTTGCAAGCGCAGCTGCAGGAGCAAATTCAGAGTGGCATTTTGTCGTTCGCGGAGCAACGGAAGGCGCAGCAGACACCGTCGCCGGCGCAGACAGCAGCTGCGACGATGCCGCTGGAGGGCATCTCGCCGATGCTGCCGACGCGCATCCAGCCTCTCTCGATTCCGCCGCAAATGCAGGGACTGTCGCCAACGGCCGACCAAAAAGAGACCCAGGTCCGACAAGAGCTCCGAACGTCGGCGATTCGAACACCAGAGGCGTTGCGGTCGGTGGAGCGTCGAGTAACAGGCGACACGGGAGGCGCTGGTGTTAATACAGCTAGTGTTGGTACAGCTAGTGTTAATACAGGGGCTGTGGGGGATGTCAGCAATCCGATAGTGGGTGGCAGCCATGTGGTGGCGGGTTGTAGTGTAGCGGAGGGTTCGAAGATGATGATGGTATCACAGCCGCAGACTGAGAACGTGCGGCGGTATGAGTTGACTACGAATAAGGGTGATGTGCGAGTGGTGGAGAAGATTGAATTGTTACCGAGCCCCCGGATTGAATTGTTGAGAAGCTTTCTGAGTGCGGAAGAGTGCGAGACATTGAATGACTTGTTGGCGGAGGTTGACCAGATACCACATATCCCGAATAACTTGTTGGCTTCAGAAGATCTACAACACAACTTATTGGAGAAGTGGATCGGGCAGATCGTGAATCGAATAGCTCAAATATGTGACGTCCCCGATGAATCTATTGTTGGTCTCTGCCCATCCGTTGTTCATAAAGGCGCCGTTGACGCAACGAAGGAATTTAGCACCATAATCCGAATCTACCTTGACGAACCACAAAAAACAGCAGCCAGCTCAGATTTCCCCGACCTAGGCCTTAGCATCACCCCCAAATTAGGTGCCGCACTACGCTGGGATTGCAAAGATCAAGACGGATCTAAGACCCAGCTAACTAAACATAAAGAAATACTTGTACAAAACTGCACACGCAGATTCCTTACCGCCTACCTCATCTAATTACCCACCCACTGCCGCGACATTCTTCGTTCGGAGAATGTCGGCACCTCCCTTCCCCTCAGGCAGAATTATATTTCGTTTCCGCTTACTGTAACGAATGTATCAGGCGCGATCGATCATTTTTTTGATGACTTTATAACAAAAGCCATGAGATCAATCAGAAGACCTACACACGTGGGCAGGGGGCGGAACTGACTACAATATCCATTGGGGGGTTACGTCAACACCCAACACCCAACACGTGTGTGTGTGTATAACCAGCTAACTAACTATTGTTGCTTGGGTGTGAAAGGTCGAGGGCCAGTCAGTCAAATGTCGATGATGATGTTGGACATTGACGAGGTGGCTGGTGGTGCGTTTAGGTCCTGTGTTCCGAGAATGCCTATTGTGGTCTTGGCAGTTGGTTTCACGGTTTTGCAGGCTGGTGATTTTTCCATGCGGACAACGTTGAGAAGAGCGTCTAAGGAGATTTGCGAGTCCCTGAGAAGGGAGAGGCTGAATGACATGGCGAGTATGGCGATGAGTAGAGAGGAGTTGGCGAGAAGGAAGTAAGCAAGAGTGTAGACCCAGAGACGGACGCCGTCGCTAGCGGTAGAGTACGAGGCGGTAGAGAGGGCGAGCAGGGCAAGCGAGGCGGAGCTGGAGACATAGAACTTGGTGCCGCGATCGTAGATAGTGTTGGCCACGTCTGTCCAATACAGGAGGGGGATAAGGCCGCGTAGGTCTTCAATGAACCTTATTTCATTCCTGTCTGAAGTGGAGTAACCACGGCTAGAGACAAGGGCCGCGAAGACAGCGTCCGTCTGCTTGCGGTACGCCGCACCCATACAGACCGAATTCGTCGCCAACCGTATTACTAGACCTCCCCCAGTCATGCGTCCCGTTGCGTCCGAGGATCCGGCGGGTCCTCTGGCCGTGATTCTGGTGGTATCGGCCCCAGCGGGGAGTAGGTGCCAAGTACCGAAGAGACTTGCCAACGAAGTATTGGTGACTTGCTGCTCAAACCGCGGCGAGGAAGAAGCCACCGTCACTCTCAAACTAAAAACAGACTGTGCCGCCAACACCTGCTCCGCTAAGTCGCCACGTCGACAGAACAAATTCTCACCCTCGGTTCCCGACAAATTGCTCTCCAACCGTACCTCATCCGTTGGGCCAACACCTAAGGATACTCCCGAGGCAACGACTAGCCCCGAACTAATCAGGTCCTGATCGCCGATGTCCAGCGTCACCGCGTTCTGCCCAGCCAGCCGCAACAAGTCCACCGTGTGCGGCACAATCGCAGTCTTGCGTCCCAGAGCTTGTTTCGCGTACAGCAACAACACATCCACCGAGTCGTCTACAAAGAGGGGAGGTACGAGGGTCTGTCTAATGGGTCTAATGAGAGGTGCCATCGACCGGTGTGATTGACTTACAGAGTGTGGTGGAGGAGAGGCACTGACAAATGAGAGTGGCGGTGAGTGTGACACGTGGCAGGACGTTTATGAGGAAGGAGTCCGTATCGGGTTCGCGGTCGGGATCGAGGGCGGCCCGGGCGAGCCAGGCCGCCAGGAAGAGGGCGATCGAGATGGTGCCAAAGTAGCGGATGAAGAACTTCAGTCGGGGACTGCGATAGCACCAGAATGCGCCGGTGAGGCTGGCGGATTTTGCGTGGTTGGCAAGGACGCGAGTCAGACTCAGGTCGGAGAATTGTAGCACACGCGTGTGCACACACGTCCCGCTCAATATTTGTTGGCCCTGGTAGAGAATCTGGTCCGCGACGCAGGCCATGGTCTCGTCCTCGGCCGGACTCATCAGGTTTGTTGGACTGGCCATTAAGTCTGCGGCCGGTACCTGAATGGCGGGATATTGCGCCGAACCTTGAACGACGGGATGCTGCGCCGGATCTTGGACTGAGATGCTCAAGTGGTTGAGGTCTTGGTTCTGAGCGAAGGTGGGTACGCTAACTCGGGCGTGGTAGTCGGCGGAGGTCACGACGCAGTCTGCGACCACGATGTCGCCTTGTTTATAACTGACGACGGTCCCTGGTGTATCCTGGCTGTCGATGAGAGGGAGACTACCGCGTGTACGCACACTACTTAGGAAGATAGAGCGTAATTTGGGCGCAACGGAGTCGTAGATCTTGGGCGCTGTCAGCACGAAGTTAGAAAACGCAATACAACGCAACGAGTACTTGGGCGATGACTCATGCTCTATCAACACCGCCAGAAACAGACTGAACAACCCCGCAAACAGCAATACAAAGCTTAAGAGCACACGCATCTGTGCGCCTGATACGAAACCCGGCATCCTTGCACAACCGCTCAAAGTCTTCGTCGGCAGGTTGTTTACATCCACCAAACATAGAAAGGCAAATAATCCACTAAACATCGTCCAAAGGGAACGAATCGTAAACGGGAAATACAACCGACGACTATAAAGTTATAATCAACTGGGAGAGGGGGGAGGAGGAGGGGGG